CCAAGGATTGTGGATTATATGTTATATTTTGTAAAACTAGATAAGCAGTCATCAAGGAACTATAGCCACAATATCCCGTTCTGGTGGATTTACTGACTTATTTTGCAGTGTGATTTACAACCCTCTAATTTGTGGATTATAACTTTTTTCCCCTTTTCTTCTTTTGGATTATACTCTTTCTCCTGTCTACTTTGGATCATAAATTTTTGTGGTGGATTACAAATTTATGGAAGTCATGGGATTATAAATGTTCAGATCCAACAGATGATCATTTAGGACTGGATTACAGCTTCTGTCATTTGGGAGTCTTAACTGTAACGTTTTATGTAGCAGACTATGGGCCTAAGCAGACTGCCAGAAATAGTGCACATTAAATTGAGGCACTGCCCTGGCTCAGTGCTTGGGAATCATGGGACCTGTAATTTATTGTGGCACCAGAGCTCTCTGACAGAGAAGGCTCAATGTCTCAGAAAAAAATACAATTCCCATGATTCCCTAGCACTAAGCCAGGGCAGTGCCTCAATTTAATGTCCACTATTTCTGGCAGTCTGCTTAGGCCCTATATTACTATTAAACTTTTTGGACTTATTAAAAGAAGCATTTATTATAAGGGAAAGATTTTAAACTCAAGATTCAATCACAAGTATTGTCAGTAAAATATGGATTACCTCTCTATCCTACAAATGAAGATTTGCCTTGTGAACAACCTTCAGCAATAAAGGCAAGAATTCTATATGTTGCACTGGCACAAAGAAGTCTGAACGATGTTTTATGGATAACAAAATGGCCACAACTTTATTCATCTTTACAGGGTCTGAAACAATAACTTTACATCAAAAATTCTTCACTTGATTATAACTTCCTTCTTGACACATGTGTATGTGCACATGCCATAACACCATAACATGCCCCAGCAAACAGGAAGTCATCTAAATAGTGCATAATTGCAGGATTGCCAGACCTGTTAACCACACACCAGTGCAAGAAGGTACTAAATTTCACAAAAGCTGAGCAAGAAATGGAACAATCTATTGGCATAGCCTTGTGAAAATAGTATATTCCTTCAAATTGGGAGCCCAGCAAGTCAAAATCTTCATGGTGTACTGGAAGTAGCCTGAAGGCAGATTTTATATCACATTTTGCCAAAAGAGCTCCCTTGCCCAAGGCTCTAACCATCTGCACTGTTGAGTCAAATGATACATATTTCACAGATGCCAATGCTGGGTCAATAGCATCATTCACGGACTCCCCTTTGGGATAAGAATGATTGTGAATTAAACGAAACTCACCTGGTGTCTTCTTGGGAACAACACCCGGGGCATCATTGGGCCCAGATATCCTCTCTGCTGCCAACTCTTTTGCTAGCTTGTCCCTAACGATCCCCGGTAACTCCCTCACTGAACGTGCATTAGGTGCAAAACGCTAAACTCTTAAATCAGAATATGAAATGTGAAAACCATATGTAAAACCATCAAGTAGGCAATGGGTGGAATCCCGCTTAGGCTAAATTCCCAGCCAAGCAGTTAAAATGTCCAACTTAATGGGCGTTGGTGCCTTTTCCTCCAGCTGGGGTTGCCTGAGGGGCAGCTCCAGCTCCAGTCCGCTTACCTTTAAAGCAGGAAGTGCCGGGGTGATTACAGCTGCAGGTGTTACAACAGTGTTTAAACCTGCAGGTCTGCCACCTGCACTTACCTGCATTAAACTCCCAACA